GAGGTCTGTGTACGTCCCAGGTCTTGAAACTTTTGTCTTTCACATTGTTAGAGAAAGAGGAGAGTGTCCTCCTAAAAGGTTACTTTGTATAGCCGTGTAACTCCCCTAAACTCCAAGGAGAGTTTAGATAATAAGGGAAAGAAACTTATTATGAGACTCCATGGTAGAAACGTCCAAGCCATGTCCAGACAGCCAAAGGAGATTTTCAACACTTGTCTTTTCTGTCATTCCTTTATAATGGCCAGCCAAGCCCATTGGCGTGCTATTACATAGGTGTGTTATTACTTAGATCCACGTGCAAAGTAAAATGAAGCTGATGGACTTCTCAGAGATATGATCAAGTCTGCCAAGCTCTGAGTTGCTTCTGATCCCTCTGAAACTGAACAAGTCTAGGAAAGTGGTCATCCCCTTGGTACTGGTTAGATTTAAAAGGTGAAGTTAAAGCTTACTTTGTTAAAGTGCATGTTGGCTCTTTATTCTGGTGTGTTTTTATCAAGTCCAAATTTATAGTCTTGTTTCCTATCCTTCCAGCACTACTCTAGCATTTTCCTTTGTGTGCCTTTATTGAGCATCTACTATATACTAAACACCTCACTGGGTCCTGGAGAGACAAAGATGAGTTAGACACATTCTGAGCTTTCAGGGATTCTGCAAACAAGTGGGCAGAGAGACCAGTTAATGGAAATCTAAAATATAGGAGCTACTTGAGATAACAAAGGGAAGAACGAGGACAGTGAGAGTGGAGGGCAGTGGACCCTAGCTGGAGGCAGGCGTGGCGTAGCTGTTAAGAGTTCAGACTCTGGAACCAAGTTGTCTGGGTTCACAATCTGGTTCTGTCTCTTATAAGTTGTGTGACCTTAGGCTACTGACTTAACATCTATGCCTCAGTTTGCTCACCTGCTAAATAGGATAATAAAAGAATCTACCTCATGGGATTACTAAAAGGATTTTGTAAAGCACTGGAACAGTGCCTGGCATATAGCTCCATAAAATCCAGCTTTTATTATTACCGATAATATAGTCATGCCCCATATCAACATTTCAGTCAATGATGGATCACATATACAACAGTGGTCCCAGAAGATTATAATACCATATTCTTACTGTACGTTTTCTATGTTCAGATATACACAAATACTTACCATTGTGTTATGATTGCCTGCAGTATTCAGTACAGTAACATGCTGTACAGGTTTGTAGCCTAGGAGCAATAGGCCATACCATATAGCCTAGGTGTGTAGTAGGCTACAGCATCCAGGTTTCTGTAAGTGCACTCTATCATGTCCACACAATGATGAAATTGCCTAACGAAACATTTCTCCGAGTGTATCCCCAGCACAAAGAGACACATGACCATAGTAGTGCGTAACTGCCGATTGAACTGAATGAATACCACTGTGCTACTGCTACTGCAGAGGCGTTGTCGCAAGGCATTCCAGGGAGTTCACAAAGGCTTCCCAGAGGTAGAGACTTTTGCACTGAGACGTGAAGGCAGGCTGAGGCTATAGGAAAAGGACATGTTTGGCAGAAAGAACAGAGTCTACAAAGGCACAGAGAAGTGTGAGAGGAGGGGGCATTTCAGGACCTGTCGGTGAGATGCCTGAGGGAGAGTGCCGGAGTGGGGACTGGGCTGAGGAGCTTGGACTGGATTGTAAAACCTAGAGGAAGCCACAGAAGGATTCTCAGCAGGCTCAGGGCTCACCATGGGAGACTGGGTTGCAGCGCCCTGCAGTGGCCTCAACCCACAATGTCGCTGCCCAGCCTCCTTCCCTGTGATTTAAGCAAGAAGCTCACGTGTGTGGACCTGATTTTGCTCACTGGGTGTCATTTCTTTGGGGCTCGTGGATTAATAAAGTGAAAGTATGTGTTTTCTTAATTCTTTTCTCCATGATTTCTTTCTAACTCCCTACCCCTGCTGAGACAGATACAGGGATATCTATCTTACAGACCCCTTTGAGAGTCTGATGAAAGCCATAGGCCCTTCTCTCAGAAAAACCGTGAAGACAAGATTTTCCGTAGATCCCACACTAACCTCCCCCTCCGCCCCACGTCGGTCATGCAGACAGGCCCTCAGACCCAGCGCAGTCTTTCTGACCCAGGCCTGCTTGTGGGTTTTGTGCTCCCATCTCAAATTGTTTTTAATTTAATTTGCTAGTGCTTCCAATAACTCTTCCATCTGCCATCACTATTATTATCTAACCATGTTATCATGAGAGCAGACTTGAATCATTTGATGGCTATAATTAAAACTGAAAGTAATTATCTCATTTTGAGCTCTTCAAATTTAATTGAGAGGATAGTGGCTAAGAGCATGGGCTCTAGAGGCAGACGGCTTGGATGGATTCGAATCCCAGCTCTGTCACTGTCTTGCAGCCTCAGGAAAGCCATGTGACCTCTCTGTGCCTCAGTTGCCTCATCACAAAATGAGAATGGTGGTATACTTACCTCATAGAGTCGTCGTGAGGATCAATTGAGGTAACGTAGGGACGTGCCTAGAACAGTGCCTGGCACATAGTAAGTGCTGTACAAGTACATGCTGTCATCACGTTACGATTTCTATTTAAATGACATCATGAAATGGGGTAATGATGGATTACTGGGAGAAGAAAAATAGGTAAATAAAATCTCCATGTGTATTTGACTCCATAGGTAAATAAAATCTCATATGCTTTGGATCCTTGCCAGTACCTGGAGGCCAAGAATAGATTCCGTACACCTGTGCTGTCTAGTATGGTAGCCACTAGCCACGTGTGGCTTTTGACTACTCGAAATGTGGCTAGCTCAAGTTGAGATGCCCTCAATCTGGAAGCTTTAAGTATGAAAAAAAGTAAAATATCTCTTTAATAATTTTTATATTGATTGCATGTTGAAATAATCTGCATAAATTAGGTTAGATTAAATATATTATTAAAATTTTATCTGTTTCTTTTGCTTTTTAAATGTGACTACTAGAACATTGAATTTTAAAAAAAATTTTTCCCATTTATTTTTTATTTGTGTATATTCATGGAGTACAAGTGCAGTTTTGCTACATTGATATATTGCATTGTAGTAAAGTCAGGGCCTTCAATGCATACATCACTGAAGCAACACACATGGTACCCACCAAGCAACCTCCCCTCATCCACCATCCTCCAACCCCCCCACCTCTCTAAGTCTCCATTGTCCATCATTTCATACTCTGCTTCTGTGTGTACACATTATTTAGTGTCCACTTGTAAGTGAGGACATATTTGTCTTTCTGTGTCTGAGTTGTTTCACTTAAGATAGTTGCCTTCAGTTCCAGTCATGTTGCTGCAAAAAATTATTTCATTCTTTTTTGTGGCTGAATAGTATTCCCTTGTACGTCTATAACACATTTTCTTTATCCATTCGTCTGTTGATGGACATTTAGGTTGATTCCATATCTTTGCTATTGTGAATAACACTTCAATAAATATATAAGTACAGGTATCTTTTTTTATATATTGATTTCCTTTGGGTAGATACCCAGAAGTAGAATTGCTGGATTGTATTGTAGTTCTATTTTTAGTTCTTTGAGAAATCTCCATACTGTTTTCCATAGAGGTTGCACTAATTTACATTCCCACCAATGGTGTATAAGAGTTCCTTTTTCTCTGTATCCTCACCAACATTTGTTTTTTTTTTCTTTTTAGTAATAGACATTCTATTGGTATAAGATGATATCTCGTTGTGGTTTAATTTCCATTTCTCTGATGATTAGTGAGGTTGAACATTTTTTCATATGCTTCTTGGCCATTTGTTAGTCTTCTTTTGAAAAATGTTTGTGTCCCTAGCCCACTTTTAATGAGGTTAATTGGTTTTTTGTTGTTGTTATTGAGTTGTTTGAGTTTCTTGGAAATTCTGGATATCAGTCCCTTGTCAGATGTATAGTTGGCAAATATTTTCTCCCATTCTGCAGGTTGTTTACTCTGTTGATTATTTCTTTTACTGTGCAAAAGCTTTGTAGTTTAATTAAGACCCATTTGTTTATTTTTGGTTTTGTTGCCTGTGCTTTTAAGGTCTTAGTTATGAATTCTTTGCCTAGACCAATGTCCAGAAGAGTTTCCCATAGGTTTTCTTCCAATAGTTTTATAGTTTCAGGTCTGACATTCAAATCTTTAATTTATCTTGTTGATTTTTTGTGTATGGTAAGAGATAGGGGTCCAATTTTATTCTTCTGCCTATGGCAGTCCAGTTTTCCTAGAACCATTAATTGAAAAGGATGTCCCTTCCCCAGTGTATGCTCTTGTCAACTTTTTGTCAAAGATCAGTTGGTTGTATGTGGCTTTATTTCTGGGTTCTCTATTCTGTTCCATTGATTTATATGTCTATTTTTATACCAGTACTGTGCTATTTTGGTTACTGTAGGCTTGTATCATAATTTAAAGTCAGGTAGTGTGATGCCTCCATCTTTACTCTTTTTGGTCAAGATTGCATTGGCTGTTCAGGCTCTTTTTTGGTCCCATATAGAATGTTTAATATTATGTATGTGGCTTGCATTGTATTTCTATTGAGCCATTATCAATAAGACAAAAATGTATGGCGATTTACATGATCTGGTGGCCTCTATTAGAAAGCCTTGTATTCCCATCCTAGTGCCCTTCAAGTTTTGCTGCACCACTAGCTTTTTAATTGGTTCCTTAGAGGAAACCATGGCGCTTAGTTTCCTCTAGAAGAGGTTTAAGGGACCAAGGCAAGAGCAACAAATAGAGAAACTTCCCCTGACTTGGAGGGGTTTGGACAAAAACACTACCATTTATAGTTATACTGGCCTCAGACTTTCGGCACTCCCTCAAGTAGATGAGAGAATGCTCTCTATTCAGGAAGTTGAAATATGTAGGCGAAAAATGCTCCCTATTCCATCAGGAGCCAGAAAAAGCTTTGTTAATCTTTAACCAAAAGAATAAATGCTCAACATTATGGCAGTCACTTGGGATCAAAAGCACACGCTTTCCAAATGTGATTTACTTATGGAATGTTTGTTTAATTCTATTTCAGATTCACTCCATCACTTAAAACCTGAAAACATTGGACCACACAGTCTTACTGGTAAGTTCTTTATTTTTTAAACAAACTGACTGTTTGACATTATTTTTGAAATGACGTTCACACTTCTAAGTTAGATGCATCCCTACCAGTACTATGATTAGATGTCTGCTTCTTTGCACTTTTTTGGTCTTCAAAATAATTTATGATGTTTCCATGCCTTAAAAGAAACCAGAGTAACCCATGTTCTTTTGCTAAGACCATGGGCAGGAAAAGATCCATGATTACATGCCAAATACTATTAAAATGAAAGGTTTTTTCTTGGTAATAAAACTATTTCCAGGCCCCTGTTGATGGTCTGCTTGTTTCAGGCAGTATCCAAAACAACAGCGTGTTACTTCAGCCAAGGAATTCAGACAGTCCCTTGCAGTGTGTTGTAATGAAAATTGGCTCACAGCGGCAACATATTGGGGCTCTACTCTTTCTTATTGCTCTATTTTTTTTCTCATTTCCCATCTCACCTAAATGTGGTTGTTGTGAGTTAACAGTTCTGCAGTGATAGAAAACTTACTTAAGAGCTAGAAGGGTAATATACTTCTTAAGGGAAAAAGCTTCTGGGACTTCAGGTGGCATCACTCTCTGATATTGTGGCTATACTGTTATTTGCAGTGTGTTATTAGTTAGCTTTTGCTGCATGACAAACCACCCCAAAATGTATTGCCAGTACTTTGAGCCAAAATATACTGGCTCAAAATAACCATCATTTATTTATCTCACAGTTCTGTGGGTTAGTGATTTGAGCTGGGCTCAGCTGCATGATTCTTCTGATTTTAGCTGGGATTATCGATGTTTCCACAGGCAGCTGCAGGTCCAGGTCAGCTAGGCTTTGTTTCTGGGGGTCACCTGGCTGTTCGCTGAAGTGATAACAGGGACCAAGCCGTGTGTGTCATCATCCTGCAGATTGCCCTGAGTTTGTTCACATGGTGACTGGGCTGGGTACCAAGAGAGAGCAGAAGCGTCTTGAGGTCGAGGCTCAGAACTTGACTCATGCAATATTGTTTCCACTTCGTTCTGTTAGTTAAAGCAAGCTCTATGGCTAGCCTGGATTCAAGAAATATAAATAGAGATTCTACCTCTTGCTGAGAGGAGTTGCAGAATCACATTGCAAGGAGCACAGATACAGGAAGGGGAAGAATTGTAGCCATTTTTTGCAGTCTGCCATAGCATTTATAGGTCACATAGAAACAGCTATGCTGGGTTGAGAAGAGTGTGGAGAGTGAGAGGACTCAGAATAGACTCCCACCTGTGGCTCATCCTCTTGCCCCATTCTGACTGCCAGCACCCTAGAATCCTAGTCTTTCCCCTGCCGTCTGGCATCTCAATCAGTTCAGCAGGTTCCTAGGTGGTCTTGCCAGTACCAGGTTTTTCACCCTCCAACCCTCCCTTCATTCTCCCACCGCCACATTAGTCATCCTTCAGTTCATCATTCAGAAGGTTACCCCTCTGCTCAAAAACCATCCATGCCTCCCTCCGTGCCACCCACCACACCAGCCTAGGCGCCTCTGTCTGGCTTCTCCACTCTCATTGTCTGGCCTCATCCTCTCTTGCTCAACTCCCACTCTTCCTTTATTTTTGCCAATCTATTCAGCATCTCTCTTGAGGATATCTTTCAGCTTACCCCTTCTCTACCTGGAAATCCTGACCATTTTGCAAGGCTCAGTGGAATTTTCCCTTCTCTGTGACTTGGCCTTCCTGCCTACCCCTGCCATCTGTGATCTCACCCGCTCTGACCACCTTCAGAGCCAAGCAGAATGAGTCTTTGGCTCACTCTTCTTTCACCTTGGCTGGTCTTACTTCCTTAAGTTCCTTTGTTAGCTCTTTGAGAGCCGAAGGCTACATACGCCTTCCTCATAGTAGGCAGCACAGGGCTGGGAGTACAGCAGGTACTTAGTCAACCAGGAAGCAGCACAGGCACTGTGCACGCTCACCCACCAGCAGCTCCTCGGAATCAGATGAGACACCTCTTAAAATACAAACTCACACAGTCCCTTCCACTGGGCCATCCACGTTCATTAGGGCTGGGGTGGACCCCAGGAATCTTAAAGCACTCAGATGATTCTGCGATCGTTCTGCAGTTGGCAACCACTCGTTAGGGCGAGAACAAGAAATTTATACACGACCTGGGTTTGAGCCTGCCTCTGCGCAGCTCTGGAACCTTACAAACTCAGTCCTTCTGAGCTTCAGTTTTCCCATCTGTAACATGGGACTAATATTTAACTCATGGATTTCTGGGAAGATCAGAAAGAATAATGTATGTACAAGTGCTTTATAAACCATAAAATGTAATTAAAATGCATTAATTGATTCTGGATCTCCAGCTAGCCACTGTTCTAAAAAAGGTAGTTACCTATGTGGTGATGGTGGAGGACTAGGCAGTGAGTGGAGTGGTGGTAGAGGTGGAATTAATAATAAAAGCAGCAACAGTAAAAATTAGTGTCTACTATTTTTTGGGTGCTGACTATGTGCCAGAATGTGCTGTTTTACATAGAATTATTTGAGATTTACGGGAAGATTCCCCTGTTCAATTGCATTTGTACCATTTTTATAATATTAATATATTCCACCATTAATGAATTATTCTGGTTATTTTTTTTTCCTCTTCAAAATACCTAGTTAAAATATATCTGTCCTTGAGAGAAGAAAGATGTAGCTATCATTGATCATTGACAATGTATAGTCAAGTATTAAAACACAGTCCTACAGAGGTGGGAGGAGTCAAGAAGGGAGAACAAACGTTGGTTCTAAAGAGGCAGTAGGTGTGGATGCTCAGGGTTGGACCAGAGGGCACCTGGCTGACCTAGGAAGGATGGAGTTGGGGGGAGGTGAGCAGGAGGGAGGACTGAGATACTTGCTGACTTGACAGTTTGGCCGAAGGCTATTCTTGTTCTAAGGCTGCCACCCTCTCTGGCTGCCACAGCAGGCAGCATTTGTAACATTATCCTCCACTCACCACCCAATTGTTTTTTACATTATTTGGTTGCTGTTGATCTAGTGTGTGTGCTTGCCTTCTTTCAGAGATTTTTGAAGTGGCTTTTAAATGTACATATAATGAGATTCAGAAAAATAAGCAAGGGAGAAAATTTGTGGGGAAGGAAAAGTAGGGTGAAGTCAGAGATAAGGCAGGGCCCCAGCTTGTGGGTGAGAGCCTGTGTGTTTGCTAGCAGGTCCCACGGTCTTGCCTCTGAGCTGCTTCTGAGCAGGCACTACCAGGAGGAAATTGCGCTCCGCTAACAACTCACAGTGGCCAGGAGATAGGAGCACGCTAGTTACTCAGAAGGAGCAAAGTTGATCGTGGTCAAGACTTAGAGACATTCCTCCAGAGTGCTCATCGAGAGAATGCCACACAGGGTGGCAAACAGCCCCCCTATAGTGAGGAGAGTAATGAAGACCACCCTCAGTGTAGGTGAATGATGTAACATCCAAGCACAGTCCAAGAAAAGCCCTTCCCGTCCAGATGTGCATTTCTCTGTTGGCTTTGCTTAATTCAGGGATAAAATTTAATGGTTTCAGCTGGAATAACAAATAACATATATTCATATTCCCCCCTCTCCTGCCTACCTCATGATGGACTTCACAGACTACCGCTGCTGTCTTGATGCTGAGCTTGACATTTTCATCATGGACCGGATTTGGCACTTGAGTTGAAATCTACTTACTAAAGAATAGGAAGCAACTAGCTGATAGTGCCATGTGAATATTGTTTCTCTCCATTCTACACTGTGACTCAGTCTGTGGAGTAGCTTTTCAATACGCAGGATTTACATCAATCCTGCATGGTCCTCTTCCCTTGCTCCATGCACCTCTCCTGTTCTGAGCCCCGCGGCTCTAGGCCCCTTATCATACTGGAGTGTTCAGTACGTCTTGGAGGCGGTTTGAGAGGCTCATGACACTTGACTCCAAGTATTTGTTTGATGGTAGCAAACTATAAACTGGGCTACTGTGGTCTGCTTCTGGGTCTCTCTTCTTTCAGTCGGGAACTTTAATATTTATTACAAGAGGTAGTGTCTGATGGGTGGCAGCACTGGTAAGATGAACTGCTGGTGCAGAGGGTAATACAGGGGTAATGTTTCTGTAGGAATGTCATAGGAAGAAAAAATTTTAATTTTGTTAAGATCATTTTGAGAGAGGAACCCAGAATTCCACAAGGACTACCCATGAAGGAATTTCCTTTCAGGCTTTATTTTTCTTTAGATCAAATTTATTATTAATGGTTAGAATTATGTTGGTTGCAAGCAAAAGAAATCCAACTTAAACAAGTTTCTTGACTTACATGACTAAGAGATCCATGCTAGTATATCCAGGAGTTGAAAAGATATCATCAGACCATTATCTTTCTCTCTCTCTCTGTCTCTCTCTGTCTCTGTCTCTCAGCTTTGCTTAATTCAATCAGCTTCATTCTCAGGCACCCTCTCCCTCACCATGGTGGCAACAGTAGGCACCAGCACTGGGTTTCTAGCGTTCTCACAGCTGTGGATCTCAACGAAGAGAGTGCTGCTTTTGCCATAGTTCTAGCAATAGTACCACAGAGAGATCTTGACTGGCCCGGTTTGGATTGGCTGCCTGAGTCAGCTTGGCCAGAAGTAAGTGGTAGACAGTAATCAGTATCACTTTGGCCAGAGCTTGTTCACGTGTCCCAGGAGAGAGGGCAAATCCCACCAGAATCACATGGAATGGGTTCCCGTGAAAAAGGAGGGGGTTTGTTACCACAGGAAGAAAGAAAGGAAAGAGAATGGCAAGCAGATAAAATGTCTGGGTACCAGAGTCCACTGGTTTAGACATTCTTAATATGGAGTACATTAAACTTAAAAGGTTGAAAATGAGATTCAGCTCCAGTTACGTCGACTGCCTATTTCCAGTCTGGTGTCATGATCCAGACTGTCAACAGTGAGCATGTGGTGAGGACAAGGACAGGTGGCCCCACTGCAGAGTGCAGTGGCAGCTCCTGGTCTGAGGACCTTGGGGTTGCATCCCCAGGATCTACAGGAACAGCTCTTAATAGACAA